GATATTTTGCTCTTTTAGATTTAAGACATAAATATATTTGTATTCTAATCTCCAATATTTTAATACAATATGGGTAGTCTAAAAACGGACAAACTTCAGTAAGTTAGTCCGTGTTTCAGAAAGTTATGCTCATACCATTAGTAACGATTGTACAGTATAAAAACTAAGTAAAAAAAAAACTTTTGGACTACGTATCGGGTTATTTGTTTTAAAAAAAATTGTTTAGTCATAAAATCTTTAAAATTATTATATTATTAAGCACATACTTGTTAAACTACAAAACCTGCTTAATAGATAGAAAAAGAGGTTAATAATTAACATGGTGATTTTTAAGTTACAAAACTATCATAGTATACAAAATTCAATACTTTTACGTGGATAATAATCGTTAAAAATTACATCTAGCTGGGATGTCTTAAATCTAATTTTTTCTTTTACAATGTTAGTTATAGTCGTAATATACAACAAAAAATACATTTTAGGGGAAGATGAAGAGTATTTACTATATGTTGTTAAATTATACTTTTAAACTTACTTTTTCTTATAAAAAAATGTTTATAACTTTTTGCCCGTTTATAGACCATTCTAATTAATTGTATACTTCAACTGAAGCGGTTATTTATGATGTGCATAAGAAAATATATTTATCCAAAAATGTATTTTATGTTAAAAATGTCTTATATGATATTAATTGCGTCACTAATTAATATTTAAAAAAAATGTATTTTTATAATAATTGATAATAAACAAAACGAAATTTGTATTACGACCAAATAAAAAAAAAATAGTTTTTTTAAGTGTAACTTTTTAGTGAAAAATAGTTAGTTTTAGTTTCTTAAAAGTTTGACCTTTTGTATTCAGAACCTTTTAAAAACAAACATTTAAATTTAAATAGAGCGCACTAGGTCATTTCGATATATGTCTTGAGTGCGTTTCTTAAGATCTTCAGAAACTATGATCGGATTAACGTTATACCATAATTATTATGATCATCTGACTTTCAGTTTTCGTACACAATGTAGTAGGAGATGCGCTTGTATAAGTGCGTCTATGGCTATACACAACTAAATTTTGCAAAAAATATGCACTCGCTGTGCTGTCGATTTTATAAAATACAACATTGATTGCAAATCGCCATTATTTGTTTACTAATCGCAGACTGTGATCGTAATCAATGTCCTTTGCTGTACCTAACTATGCACTATGATAATGGTTTTGCTTGTCCAAGACCACCAAGGAAGTCGCATTTGTTTGTAGTGGCTTTGACCAGACTGACCCGTACAGGACGACCTCAGCAGTTAATCGGTACGTTATCGTACCACAAGTGGTACATAATCGACCCTTCCGGTTCATCACGCAGACATAGTACAAAGTATATCCGGTGTATTACATCAACGACGAGGACAATAGAACGAGGGTTAACGTTGTTATAAGCGGCACAACGACAAGCAAGCCGGCGACGATTTTCTTTACTCTCGTTTAATCGTCGATAGCTATCACCAACCCGGTGAGTGTATACCTTAAACACATTCAAAAAAAAAAAAAAATATGTATTTGGCCTCCAAACAGTCTGCGCGAGATGATGCTTTGCGGAATATATTATTATTTCATTTTCCCTCTAATATTACCGCGGCAATGTTGTGTGTAAACAATCATGATAATAATATTATTATATACTTGGAATCGAATGGGTCGAATAAGATTTTTGCGACGAACGATAAAAACCTTCGCCCGGTGTTGACCGACTTTACGGTATGGTTATAAACTTATGAGTGGGTCGACCGATATTAAGTGTGTGCTCGAATCGGCTCGTCAACCTTCCGTTAGACGTTTAATTTAAAACGTCTACAATATTATCATCTCCTATTCGACAATAATAGATATATGTTTGTCGTAATACGTATTGAGAACAAAAGTAAAAAATGTCCAAGTCTATCTCATTTTCTATTTTTTTTTATTTAACCGTCGTCTTTACATCGGCTCTGTTTTGCACTGGCAGCGCCCTGTGTGCAGTTATACCACCGCACAACTACTTAAAGGGTTACAAAGTGAAGTGCTCTAATGACCTATTATATTTTCATATTTTGCATCTTACGCCAAGTCAAACACCAAAATCGATTCAAAAATCAATCGTTAGTCGACTATTTTCTTCAAAAACATCTATCATAATATTGATACATTGTTTTAATAATTACTTTTATTGTAATATTTTTAATTCTAATCGTTGTATTCATAATGCGTTTCCCCAAAAATGTATCATATTCATTTGAAGTACTCTGTTTTTGTACTAAAAATTCTACCTAAACATATTCTAGTGAAACTATAAAAGGCCAAATTCGGAGCTGCTCGCTAAAATCGAATTTGACCGTTTTATTATTATTTGAATAGAATACACACATAAATAATGCGTCACTTATTAAATAAATAACTGTTCTCTGAATATTTAACGGTTATATTATGGGTGATAGAAATACGCATAGTAGGATCCTATATCACTTTTTATATTATCGTTTGAAAATATTAGTAGGTATATTTTGCCTACCTGATTAATTATTTAATACAGAGGATCTTTAATTGTTGTACGGTTTATCCTTATAATAAAAAAAAAACCTGCTATTTTCCCATAGCAGTTATATAACGTGCAGGTTCGTGCTATAATATTTTATTTATGTACAACTTGCGGTATAAAAATGGAAATAGTGAGCAAATAAAAAAGACGTCACTGGAATCGATGGAAAAGGCCTAAAGGGAAATGTACGGTGACGTGGAATGTGTCCTTTCGAGATTTGGGTGTACGATCTGTCTTTCGAAATCAACGAAAACCCCAATCTAGACTGTCCGATATCCAAAAATGATGGTCGACCAACGTATTTGAGAGCCGAATGCTCATTATTCATGTGGATATGTGCAAACGGCGCATTTTTTTAGTTATGTTTTAAAATCATTATTCGGAAAATAAAGCAAATGAAAAACTTAGAGGTAAAAATGAGCTTTAGTTACATAAATAGTATTTTAAGATAAGCGACCGTAAATTGGATTTTAGCCGCAGTTAAACTTTAAAAAAAATGATCCATTTAGTATAAGCCTACCCTGATATGGATGAGTAGGTTGAATATGCATAATTAGCCGAGTGCAAATTGCATCAACTCCTAAAATATATTATGCGATATTTCCATGATAATCTGTACATATTGCTGTCAATCGTCAATTAACTACTTAAATGATATTAGTGAAAACCTACATCAACGAAAGTATGGGTTATGTTGAACTCTATTAAACATTAAACACAATCTTGGAATGCACAGCTAAACAAAATGTGCATTACGATTTATACGTATAGAGAAGCTATATGATAACAAAATTTCTTAAAGGTTAAACTTATTTACCAAGGACCAATGAAAAAAGAGTTTGGCTTGTAAACGGCTGATTAAAGTCCTTATCGGTTAATCTCATAGTAGGTTTAATATCGCAAAATATATAAGAATGATGATTACATTAACACTACCAACCGTCAATGATGTAATGTATCTTTGCATAGATAGCAAATGCGATAAGACCATAAAAGATGTAAAAATGTACGCGTTTTAAGTATAACTCAAAGAAATAATAAGATATTTTATAGCTTTTGTCGTTTCTTCGGTATTAAGTCAAAATAATAATCTCCAAGCGGTCTTATAAGCAAACGCCTACCACATCATCCTATCATCATAAGTTATTATATACATGTATATATATATTTGCTGTCAACCCATAGATTCGCAGCCCAACATATACCAATTGAATATACCTAGCATAATACATAATATATCATTTTATAGATATTTTGTTTATAATTATTTATACATTTATAAATGCCTATTTTAAAACCTAAATAAAAAAAGCATGTACACTAAATAACAAACATAGATCGAAGAAACGTAATAAAATATAAAATATAGATTCTATTTCAATGTAAGCTAATGGTCCACAAAAACATACAACAAAACTCTTAAAATGATTTAATAAAAATAATCATCTTATTCTTTTATGAAAATAGGTACAGAAGTATTTTAAAATATTGCCTATTTTATTTAGTTGTCATTTTATAAGCGTTGAGAACCAAAAAAATAATATATTGTGACAATTTTTTTTAATAAACTTTGTTTACAGATGAACATTGAATACATTGAAAGTATAACTTTTATTTTGCTCTACGAGTAACACATACCCTTTAGATTCTCACCATATCAAATAATTGCTTATAAAATCACAACCAAACAAATTCAATATTATAAAACTACTTGGTACCTATTTTTACAACAAAAATATTATATTATACTTTCCTAGATAATTGGAAGAGTTTTGATACATTTTCTTATAGTAGGTTTCAGCTTTCATTGAAATAGGACTTCTATTCTCTAATTAATTGTATTGTTTAAAAATCCCGTGTAATCACAAAAGTCAAACAAAGAGCACAAGATATCTTACTTTATACAATCCGTGTGATTGTGTTTGTTTTTTATCTATTATGTGTTTCTTTCTTTTAATGGGAGTAATTGAACAATAAGAACTTAATTAATTACTAGAAACGAAAAAAATACAAAAAAACATATCAGTGTATAACGAGTAAAACATATTTTAAATGAGTTTTTGCAAATAATTAAAGAAATATTAATATTACTTTATTTTGATACAATATTTGTTTTAATTATGTACGTTCTATGGTCTATTATATTACTCTGTTAATAATCTAAATTTGCATTAGTTACTGAACATTTTTTAGAAAAAATAATTATAGTATATTATATATAAGGTATAAGACTTATAATATACTTAGTGTAACTTATATATTATGTATCATTCATTCGAAATGATTATACACATTAATATAATATAATATTGAAAATTCATTTTTGTACAGTGAGGTTTGTGCTACGATACATGTTACAGGCTATGTTATTTATATATATATATATATATATATATATGAAATTAATACAATATTGTTATGGATATTTCAGTAAAAATCTGCAATCATGGCTCGTGACACGCCTGATGAAATGGTTCCTCTTGAGTTGGTCATCCCGGGCAACGCAAAACGAGGGTCGGTAGTGACCAACCGTATAGTAGACATTAACGCGGACGGACTACCCAACGGTCATTCCAACATGGTTATCCAAAAACCACTTAAGCTTAGAAACATCATAACCAAAGCGGAAGTTTTCGATTCGTTACACCAAAACTCTACGCAGGTAAGTCGCATGGGTTTTGGTAAAATATTTTACCTACAGACTAATTTCTCATTTTCTGTAAAACGTAACGATAAATCAACACATACATTTTGTACTAACATTAGCTGTTATGACCTACACGATAATATTAGAAATGTAAAATTAAATTTGATTAAACATAAAAAATATAATATATCTCTGGTTTAACCATGTACAATTGACAACGAAACTGCGATTGGAAATAAAAAAAAAATTATAAAAAAAAGACCTCGATTGGTTATCTGACTTATCTACTACTGAAAGAGTAAAAAGTTCAAAAGCCAACTCATCTTGAGAATGGAACGAACCCTATTGTTAGAAACACGTATTTTCGACGACGGAAATCAATAATATGTTTGGTAGTTGCATTTTTACGGTCCATTGACTATTTTTTTTTTTTTTCAAAATCATTTAATTTCAACCAGAAAACGGATATTATATATTTTATTTCAAACGCAGTGTGTGTCATTAAGAATAGACAAAATCAATTTTTTCATTAAACAAATTGATTTGACATTTTGTACAAATTTTAATTCGGTTTGACAGATTAAATTTCTAGTAAATTTATACGAATCGACATTACATTATGTGCTATATACATTATATGAAAGGGTTGGTGTTATCCATCTTTCAACTGTAAAAATGTCCTCAAGCAAATTCCATTAAAAAAAAAATTGTTTAATTAGTTCCTATATTAATAATTTTGAAATAAATGTTTTATGGCAACGGTATGTGGATATAAATCGCAATAAAAAAATATAATTGTAAGAATTGTTAGGATTAAACTTCTTCCGTTTAAATTTTATACCATTCTAATTGCTTCATTGTTACCTATTTGTACTCAACTAGCTTTTAATAAAATTTTGTGCTAAGCCTCATAAATTACACAATAGATACTGTTTACCGTAGTGCATATTTTTGAATAATTCCTAACCGTTCGGCAAACCTGTCAGACACATTATCGACATAAATCCTCGTTTTAAAAGCCTAAGCTTTACACCTTTTTTTTTTTTTTTATCACTAAATACATGTCCAGACACATTATCCTGATACTATTTTTAATATATTCTAATTGCGATATTAAAATATTATTCGGTTAATTTATTAGAATATTAACATGCGTTCATAATATCGCATAACACTTACTAACTATGTTATAATCAATGGGTAATGAATTATTTTGTATCTGTCCCTGAATAAACTGTACAACAACGAGTGTATTGATAGTTGTAATGACGTTTTAAAATGTTGTCTACAAAAAAAAAACTGTATTAAAATGAGAAAATAATACTTTTCAATTTTAAGTTTCACTGTCACTTTAGCTGATTAATGCGTTTATTGTCATCAAATGCGAAGAAAAGAAATAAGCCAGATTCGCATTCTGATAGGGCCAAACGGAAATCTTCATAATCGACTCCTATTCAAAAACTCTTTACATTTTAATTAAAATATCAAATTTACATTGAACTGTAATAAAATGAACTCGAGTGGACTAACCCTTAAATATTTTTTGTTTTCAATGGCAGTAGAGAATTAATATTTAATAAAGGCGTTAACTTATCATATACACCTGGCAGATTGATTTTTTTTTTAAGCTATTTTTCTCAGGATATACAAACAAGCAATCCAGCACAAGCTACTATGTATTATACAAATAGTGTACATTATACATATACTAAACCGATTTCAGTTTAATTTATAAACAATCAGGATTATATACATTGTGTCCTATAATAACTTATTTATGTAATTACTAATGTTTTAATTTTAAACGGTAAACATAAAAACTATATTAAAGGTAGACGGATAATTCCTGCTACCAACAATATTTTTTAAGAAAATAGATATTTTTTCCTTTTTAAAAATTGAACGAGCTGTTGTGACGGTATTTGTACATAAACATTTTATTCCATGGTGTCACTGTGTGGTAAAATGATATTTGTATGACATTATTAGTAACTTATACTACACATGTAATAGTTTTATTATAATATTCTCTATTTAATTTTTAACCATATCACCAGTAAATTAATTTTGTTGATATGAGAATAATTTAAGAACATTGTTTAAGAATATCCATTTTTAATACTAAACAAAGTACAATTTGTTTTAACTATTCTAAATAAAAATTATTTTATAAATTACTATGATATAACAGAGCCTGTGTTAATGCTCTATTGGAGAAATGTTCTGTAAATAAAATGTATTTTAGACAATTATTTTTAATTTAATTAAAATTACATAGGTGATTAAAACGATCCTACAGTACTTATGGATTTATAAAAGCGCAAAATAATAAGTTTACAGCCAAATTATTATATTTTGGAAAAGTTACAAAATAACATTAATTGGCAAAAGTGACTACTTGTTATACGTGTTAAGTGAAATCTTACAATAAAACAAAATTACAAATATAATTAAAAGATAAATCTGAAAAAAATCTTTCTCGTGCAATATAAAATATATTACTATGATCGTGTGTATTTAAAAATATTTATTTATGAAATGAAGTTATTTTAATTTTAAACACCTTTAGTTTCGTTTAGCACCTCAATAATTTTAATATTACTTGACAGAGAAAAAACATACATTACACAAGAAAAATAAATTTAAAAAACGTACGATTTAGAGTTTACCTTTCGTAAATTATAATTAAAAATTATCATAAAAAAAAACACAAGCAAACGTGTTTATAAAATGTAAAAAGCTTTTAGTTCATTATAAAAAAAATATTGGTTAAAATTTGATTTCAACTAAATATTATAACTTATTGAAAAGTATGAATTTAAATTTTTATATTCAATTTTTGTCTAGATTTATAATAGATTTTATTAATAATATAAGGTACACAAACAACTTTAAAATATATGTACATATCATAAACTATATACACAACTGCTTAGCAAAAAAACATTCATGACCGTTCTAACAAGTTTAGTTTAAAAATTACGTTTAGACCTAAAATCTATTGGATAAATTATATTTAAACGTTCAACCATAATGCTGAGAACGGCCGTTAAATTTAAGTGATATTGAACAGCAGAAAGGCAAATGAAGATTTTTAGTTTCTTTAGTTTTATATACACACATGTAATTGGGAGGCGTTCGATTAAATTTAATTCTTAAACACTTCACTTGCGAAAATTGAATCCACTAGTACTGTATTGAATCTACAGTATTTTATAGGTGTACCTCCGTTAGATTAAATATTATTAATATTAGTATAGAACGTGACGAAAACCTAACAGTATAAGCTTTTCGCCTATTCAGTGGTTCATGTGGTTAATGGTGCACGCTTTTTATGTGTGCATCTCTGACCAATTATGATGTCATGGCGAGGCTAAAAAAGATCCCCGATCACGCGTTCGAAGACCAATAAAATGTGTACTTATGTGCTTTTATACGGAAAGGGACGAGTGATGTCGACACAGGACACGGCAAAAAGAACACAAGTTGACGTTTATGAAAGGTGGTTTTTTATCCAACGATTCAAATGTTTTAACGTTTTCTGATATAAAAAAAAAAAGAAGTAAGATCCAATTAAGGCTTATTTGTTACTTGCATCTTTTACATTATTTTAAATGTTATTACTTAATTTAACATTAGAAATAAAATAATAAAAATAACTCTCAAAAGAGTTTTCTCATAATATATTTATAAACTTACTAAATATCTGACAATCGAAGTTCCTTTTAGTAGTAATAGTAGTTTAGTAGGTAAATATTTCTTAGTAGTTTTTTTTTAAGAAAAATATTTATGTGAATTTTTTTTTTTTTAAATAATTATTATTTTTATCAAAATCCTTTTTATGATCTTGACAGATTACTGCAATTGATTTTGTTTAGAAAATCGTTATAACTTTGCAAGTACCTAACTTATAAAACTATATATATATATACATATATATTAAAAAAGAAAATATACAATGCAAATAAGTTTGTTATTGATTTCTTTGAAACCGCTGACTATTAAAGGATAACAAATAACGTACAATTTATAATATAAGAAAGTATTAAAAACTTCACTTTTAAAAAATATTTATAATGCAAATATAAAAAAGTATTTATTTTAAAACTATTTGTAATCGTGAACTAGCAATTCATGTTTATGCAATATAGGGGATGTGTTTATTTGTGAAAAAGCATGACTGTTGTTGTATGGCAATGTATATTTTCTAATCATTATTTTTGCTTCTACGACAGGCTTGATGATAATTATTATTTCATTTTGTTTACTTAAGTATGTCTACAGTCTATACGAGATAATGTATGTGTATATGATCGTATGTGAGCGAGACAAGTATTCAGCGCTAGACGGTGCCATTGAAATTTGAGATACACACAAAGTAGTTTCCACGTTGTGATTATATATTTATATAGAAAACGTATTAATGCCTAACCCACTCGAAGTTAATTTAAGTATTGGGTCCCGTTTTTGGATGACAACAAAGATCTAACAAGCTCAACAAGCTCTAAGACTTACGCACCATCAGCGCGAGGTTAACCTCTGCCAGTGAGGCAACTTCGGAGTTCTTGATTTCTTCTACCAAGATCATATTACTAGGTCAATGTGTAAATCTTTAAACAAAGTTGTTTCGCCATCATAGTATGTCATATGTATTTCTTGTATGCATTTCGTAGATTCTATTTGAGTAAGAAATATGTTTTGTTTGTAAACACAAAAAATAAAAAAGTAAATTTAACACACACGTTTTACTCTTGACATTTTTGCAAGTTGGTATTTTCTATAAAAACCGTATTTATCAATAACATAAACATTAGCTATACACAGAGTGTTCAACAACAAAAGTCAAAGTTTCTTATGGTATTCAATTTTACTCTTAAAGTCCTGTGTCTTTTACGACGACGTCAAAGATCTAGCACATCAGTTTTGAAATATGAATATAAATATATTTACTTTAAACGTATCTGGTAAAAAAAAGTGTTTACTGCGAAAAGTTTAAAATATTTTAATTGCACTAG